GGCCAGTGGACTGGAAAAACCACATCTCTTAGAATGGTGGTAAGTCTTCACCCACCACTGAATGCCCATCACAGGCCAAAGCAGTATCCCAACTCAATTTTTCTAAGTTCCCAAATGTAGCAAACAAAAGAGGATTTGAGCAAATCACTGAGCATTTCAGCTTAGATGTTAACTATTTTAATTTTTGTAAAAACAAACGAACAATGGAGTCTGTAAACAAGTCATTGGCTTCTGCAGATGAATGATTTAGCGACTTCAGTCTTTTCACGCATAATCTAATTAGACACATAATCTAATTAGATGCATAATCTAATTAGACCTGTAGTCCAGCATGAGAGGGCTGAGAAGTCATTCCACCACATGAATTTGAAAATAGAAACTTGCAGCTGTAGGTGTCAACCAGGGGTGAAATTCAGCAGGTTCTGACAGGTTCTGAAGAAAAGGTAAGAGGAAATTTTGAGTAGTTCGGAGAACCAGCAAATACCATCTCTGGCTGGCACCAGAATGGGGAGGGAATGGGGATTTTGCAGTATCCTTCTCCCAGGAGTGGGAAGAGAATGGGGATTTTGCAGTATCCTTCCCTGCCACACTCACCAAGCCATACCCACAGAACCGGTAGTAAAAAATGTTGAATTTCACCACTGGTGTCAACTCTGAAGCTGACCTGACTGAAGCCATTTTTACCGCTTCAGTGTTGCTACACTGAGGCTGAGGGATATGGAGGGGCAGATTTAAGATAGAGGGGTTTCTGTAGCCAAAACAAAATACATTCTCACAACTGGTTGGAAGAAGGCGGAGTGATGCTACCCAGTTGCCGGATCCCACCGTGATTGGACCATGCAACTGTTTTGAGAAAGTAAACAAAATTTTACTTTTAATTAGGACTAATGTTGGAGTCTATCCTCAGGGAATGTCTCTCTACTGGAATGTGTTATAGCAGAAGTTCTACTCTCTCTCTCTGTCTTCTACTCTCTACATTTCGGTAGAGATTTTTCCTAAGGATGGACTACAGAAGTTTGGAAGACTAAACCTGCATCCAGTTTTGGTCGCCACCATGTAGAAAAGATGTGGAGACTCTAGAAAGAGTGCAGAGAAGAGCAACAAAGATG